TTTTGTAAATAAATAATATCTGGTAGATTTCTAGTCAGGTTATTGTGAAATGTTATATATCGGGCACCCAACATGATAATAAAGTATCTTGCCTCTTCTGAAGGAGTATTCGTTGGTAAATTTTTTCGTACTTTGTATTATAAACAAGCGATATCAATTTTGATGGCACAGAATGCAATTTTACAAAATTCTCTAGTCAAAAATATTTGGATATCAATAAATGAAACAAACGTTGAAACGATCTAACAACTGAAACGGATAAAAATGTCAAAACCTGAATCAGATCTATGCATAAAGCAGGTGAGTCTTTATTCGAGCATTCAATTCATATACCTTTTTTCCAAATCAAAAGTCTTATTGTCATCTGTCATTGCAATGATCTTCGTCATTAGTTAATCTTATTTAAATTTGTCTGGCTTTTTTTGAAGATCAGTCAGTTCATCGGAGAAAATGTAAAACATATGAACAGATATCCTTTATAAATAGATAAAGCTGTGATATCTTTGAATCAATTAGAATTCAAAATCCGAACGGGTCTATAAACACTTATGCCACTTCTATCACCAAAGACCAAAATAATGGCAAACACATCAAATTTGTAAAGCCTTATTGTCATACTCCATAACAAATATGGTGTTTATCTCTTCAAATATTTATTTTCGGTATAAATTACGATTAGGACAAATACTCTGTGAAAAAATCTCTGATTTAAACAAAACGTTCTCTATAACTGATAAAATTGAGAATGGAAATGGGGAATATGTCAAAGAGACAACAACCCGACCAAAAAGCAGACAACAGTCGAAGGCCACCAATGGGTCTTCAACGCAGCGAGAAAATCCCGCACCCGGAGGTGGTCCTCAGCTGGCCCCTAAACAAAATTGTGCACTAGTTCAGTGAAAATGGACGTCACAATAAAATCGAAAACATTTAAATGAACTAAAATTAAAAAACATACTAGATTAATAAAGGCCAAATGCTCCTGACTTGGGACATGCGCAAAAATGCGGCGGGGTTAAACATGTTTTGTGAGATGTAAACCCTCCCCCTATACCTCTAGCCAATGTAGAATAGAGAAACATATAGCAATACGCATAGTGAAAATTCAGTTCAAAAGAAGTCCGAGTCCGATGTCAGAATAGGTAACAAAAGAAACTAAGCAAAATGACAATGATAAATAAATGAACAAAGGACTACTAGCAGTTACTGACATGCCAGCTCCGGACCTCAATTAAACTGATTGAAAGATTATGTCTTCATCATATGAAAATCAAGTACAATCCCTCCCGTTAGGGGTTTAGTATCATACCATCATAAAATATATGTGAAGAACATAACCCGTATCATGCCTACAACTGGTTTTAGAATAAATGTGTTTATTTCCGATGCAAAGAACCTATGAGTGAATCAATATTAATACCAAGATATGCAATCCTTAATGACTTGACAATAGTATCGTAACTATATCCTTTCCGAATAAGTCTGTTTAAAGGTTTGGTTAGCTTTTGAGGTGAATGTCGACATTTTTGTGCTTTGTAAAAAGAATATTACCATAAAATATTGGATGTGAATGACATCATCTGAGAGCCTATTTGTCATGTTTGATAGACGTGTTTTCAAAAAACAGTGATCATTCATATGTAAACCTACTGCTCTTCTCTTATTTCCTTCTAGTTTCTTCATTGACAAGAAGTAGACTTCAGATCGATAGAGGTGAGCCCTACATTTGATGTTCTGCTACATAAAAAACATATTTTTCTCACAGAATAACTCAAACTTCACCATTTTGATCGAGTCTATCTCGAACTCACTAAACATGAAATTAAATTTACCACAGATAAGCTTGGTCTGATAATATCGAACCTTACACTACCATTGTAATGTTATAACGCGTGCTTTTAGTCCATTAGAGCAATACATACGTTTTACGGACACCATCGAAATTGGTTTAATCGGACGTTGGATAATTTACATGATAAATATTTCGGGAACAGTTGAACCTGTCGTCATGTTCTTGTAGTATTACACAATTTTTATACAGGACCTTCTCGGGGAGAATAGCAAAATGAAAGGTAGCTAGCATTATTGTTTAACCCTCACTTTTCGATGGATTGATAATGTCCTTCCAACTATTTTTAATGTTTGATCGTTATATTAAGCCCATTTTTCCGATCAAAAACAGATCAAATTCAGTTACGTCTGCTAAATATCGTCTTACAATTGCAAATTGACAGTGCGGGTCGATCGAGAACTGAACATAACGACAAAAAAGAATACTTTAATTTTCATGTATAAACTTTCTCCATTTCTGTACCATGGTATTAGAATATGTATGCTCGGGTACAGTCTCTGATCATGAGCTATAATTTTGCAATGTATAATTTATTCCAAGGCATTTTTTTCCTAATAGGATGTATTTGATAAAGTTACTACTTACAAAAAACACTACAGATTAAGTTTTCTTTATTGTATTGGTTAATATTTTTTATTATGATTTACAAATATTCTTTCGAAAGTTTCGGTCACCATCAAGAATTGGTTGACCATTACAATGTGTTGGTACCTCACCTCACTAGCATGATTTTTTTGTTTTGTTTTTGTTTTTATTTTTCTAGGTTTTCGTGTTGACCAATCTCTTCTTGTTACGTATTAAATGGTCTGTACTTTTTTAATTATTTTATGAGAGGGGGTGGTTATCTGTCATTTTTTATTCTCGTCTGAAAATTATTCAATGTAGCCATTCTCCTATCCTCTTTTCACCGATTATGACATTACCGAATGATAGAAAATAAAACACAAAATGTATACCTGCCATGTGAAACAAAAGGTTTTCGCAGGTACTGAAAGCTAGTTCAAATCTCATTTCAACTTATAAATAAGCCATGTTTCCTTGACTTATATATCAATCAGTAGCCTTATTCCAACTGGTTTAGCGTAAGACGTCACAATCAGTTTGCAAAAATGCATGACCTTTTACAGTTAAGTTTTGATGGGTCGTAGCTAAATTTACATACTTAAAAGAATAACATGCCCTGCAAAATTAAGATATGAAATCCTATTTGTTATATAGGTTCTTCCTGACCAGCCAGGCTGCCTTATTAAATCGTTGTATATGTGAAAGAATTTAGTAAAGGTGCTTAGTAATTTGTGGTAACGAAATCCCTGACTTTAAATATATCAGTTACAACGCAAAGCGAACAAGCAGGCAAATATACAATCTATATGGTCTAAAAACATTACCGTCCACAAATATAAATCATCTAGTATTTTGTATATTTGATTCATTTTCAGTATTTGTAATACATACATAAAGCAAAAAGTTAGTTTTGTTTTAATCTAAATTCAATAGCATCTTTGTAGTTCTTTACTATCATATAACCAATGAAGATAAAACGTATATCATTCAGAGCAAGATTGAGTTAAAGTTCATACAAGGTCGCTCAATTTTAAAACATCTCTTGTCTAATTCCACGTAACTTCATCTCCAAGTTTTAAGTAAGGTTGGTTATGTGTGGAATGTTTTGTGGGCTTTTGTTTTGTCATTTCACCACTTTTGGTGGCGGTATTTCTTCCACGAATCATTAACGATTGCTTTTTTTTGTATGTTGTTATTTCCTTTAAATGTAGTTACAGAAAACAGGACTTGCATGAAAAAATCCAGTAGAATGAGATAGTTTATATTCATTTTAATATTCATAAATTTTTATAAACAAAATAAAAATTTGTATAAAATCGCCACAAATTCTTCATTGACTCCATGGATTCTAATATGTTCCTTTTTTACCTGCATAGATAAACACAAAATTGATATTATAAGGTAATTAAAGACTTTTATAAATTGATAGTTTATAAATAAAGAAACTAAAAAAGCAGAAGGGTCCGCGAGCTTGTTTTCGAGATAAAAGTCATTAAAAATTTGCGGGAAATGATTCTCTCAAGACTTTTCATACATTTAACACCGTCTCCTTTTTTCTTTCAAAAAGAGTGAAAAAATAACAAGGATGTTATAAGATTTTGAAAAATGGCTGTTTAAACTAAATGTAATAAATTTATGAAAAGAAAAGTAGGGTAAGTGGGCAAAATTTTTATTGGCATTACATGAATAAAACTGGAGGATTCCGAATATCTGACAAAAAGTCAAAAGCAAGAGTAGCGAACATCCTTAAATTCTTTAATCCTTTCAAAACAATGTTATTTTTTTTATATATTACTATGATGATATTGTTTTAGTGTAGAAATATTGATAATGTCACCGTGGTGTAAAGGACAAGCAGTTATTATTATGTTTGAACAAAAAATTTACCATTTTACACTCTTCCTTAGATAATTATTCAATTCATTCATCATGGGCAAGATATTGTTTACGATTAACTTTTGCTCATATCTCGTGTATCGTAACATTAACCTAAATCAATCGACATGTCAGATGAATGTCATTTTGTATAAAACTCCCCCTTAAGTAACAATATCGCAATTGTATTTGTATTAAAATTATAAAATTGTCGCATTTGAATAAAATGATTTTTTTTGTATTCGGTGATGTAAGATTACTTACCCCCAAATTTACCGAATCTGCCAAACCCACTGTGGTGGTTTCTTCTATTAATCAACACACCAATGGCACCCATACCATTACCATTTATACCACCAATACCATATGATCCATAAGCATTCAAACCACCAATACCATATGATCCATAAGCATTCAAACCACCAATACCATATGATCCATAAGCATTCAAACCACCAATACCATATGATCCATAAGCAATCAAACCAACAATACCATATGATCCATAACCATTTATACCACCAATACCACCTATACCATATGATCCATAATTATGAACACCATATGCCCCATAACCATTTAAATCGTTGTTTCCTCCAAGTCCTCGACCAAATCCAGAACCCTTGAAAGGTCCGATTCCTTTATCGTAAACACCGTAATTTCCATAACCACTAAATCCGTTCAATCCTCTGCCATGAAAAAACCCGTATATCCATTGTATCCAGCATAACCGCCAATGCTTAATGGTGAACCGTAACCATAAGCGTTGTTGCTGTATCCCCCGTATCCATATTCTGATCTACCATAAGACGGATATCCAAAGTAACCATTTCCTTGATATTCATAACTACCAATATTAGCTGGTCCGAACGGATTTCCATATGTTTTCATGTTATATTTAGGACTGTATCCTTTTTTACCGGCCTCCGATGCCACGAGTCCGACAAGGGCTAAACAAATCAATACTATTGGCGCCATGTTTGTTGGTTCTGAAACGATATTCAATAATTATCGACTAATGATAATATCTTAAGAGAACTTCAAAACATTAGCAAATCAGAACGACAGAAAATATTAAAGTAAATAAAGAGTAAAGATGTAAGATGTAAGTAGGAAATGCAATGGGTCAATGAAGTTGAAAAAATTCAGGAAGGTCAAACTTATCTTTGGGTGAAAGTTCATGGAATCTCTTTAATAAACGAAAATAATGCGAAATATACCAAATATCATAAACATGATCTATTGGGAGACAAACATGACATATATTAGCAAATTAACTGCTTACCTCTGTGTCTTTCTATGATGGCGTGTTCCTTGTGAAACTTTTTAGTAGTTGTCCTTTATATAACATAATCACTGACCAAACATTTTGTTATAATCAGTTATGGAATAGACATTTTACAATGATTAACCTTTGTATAGTGTGTCTATTTAAACAAGGTTTACCACAATGATAACAAATATTGTCATCAATTATTTGTTGCTATTGTTTTACGCACTGTTATCATCGTGGTTTGTGGAATTTCATCTATAAGTAATATTTGATATTCATACCGCATGTTTAATTCAGAATTAGGGAAATTCCTCATTTTATTTAAGTATTCGTGCACTTTCACAGGTATCCAAGTTGTATGTTTCTAATTATTTGTGTCGTTTAGTTTATTGTACATTTCATTAATGTCTTTTAATACTGTATTTGTTATTTATTGATTCAAACTTAAAACACTTGTAATCATCGTTAACTGATATACTCTAGTATTTCGCAATATGCTAAATGTTCACCTTTTTATTGTTTGTTAAAAAATTGAATGTTGATTCTATTCTTCCAGAAAATGTATGGGCAATGAAATAGCTTAAAGATGAAAAGCTTTCAGGTGACTTTCATTTATCAATCCATTAATTAGTAGCTGCTACTCAGACTTTATAAAATGTCACCAGTGTCTGAACAGAAAGATGATGAACCAGGGTTATGTCAATATAGAATAAAGGACTTTTTGTTTTTGATACTGAATTTATCACGGTAAAATATCAGGTGAGCCCGAAGCCCGAAGGGCGAGCCTGATATTTTACAGTGATAAAGTCGGTATCAAAAACAAAAATTCCTTTATTCTTTTTATCGGTAATTATGAAAAAATAAAAATCACTGTAATAATAGAGAAAATAGCAAACGAACTACTTTATCGCGTCGTCACAAAATGTCATTTATTTTTCAACCCGGACCAGAAATATGAAACGTTCAAGGCCCTGCGGTAACCTGTAATGTGTTCGCATATTTATTCTTTGGTCTATGAATAGCTGTCTGTACATTGGCAATGAAACCACATCTCCTTAATTGTATATGATGGGCCAACAAAAAAAGTCGAAAGTGTGTATATTTTATTTGTTTTTTTTTTTTCAGATTCTCTCATGCGATAGCGGTACCTTTTTTTGTCACTGTTTATGTGTTGCGTCCAAATATAAATTGTAACCCTTAATAGAGACTGAACAGGTTGAACAAATTTTTCTAAAGAAACAGAAAAAAAACAACACATGCAGATTATTTAACATTCAGATCGGAATAGTTAGTAAGGCTATCAATGATACTGCGGAAAACGCAAAGTTTATCGGTTTTTTCGTACACATTTTCTGTTCATATTTTCAAACAATTTAGACTAAATCGTTCAAAAAAGCTAAACTAATTTTACTTAAACAATGACAATTAAATGGTTCATTCACAAAAAAAACTCGTGCGTTTCTGCGAAAAAAATCACGCGCGATTTTGAAAATAAAAGGGAAAGTAGATCCTTGCGCGGTGCACTCGCGCATATCAATTGCGAACTGACCTAATAATTTTTTTATCACGACTAGTCCACTGATACTGACATTATCAGCGAGTACACATCAAAGGAAAAATGTACAAAGTACCGATAAAAGAACGTCTCGTCCTTTTTCTAAAGAAGTTCGTCGGAAGATACCCAAGAACTTGTTGATAAATATTCTGTATCAACTTCACAAATAATACATAACGGTCTTGAAGTATAGATTGTAGAACGGTACTGACGTTGTTTATCATCTTAATTACGTGATATATTATTCTTTTTATTTGTCTTTGTATATTTTTAACCTTTTCTGTAAAGTTCTTTTTTTTTTTGTAATATCCTTTTGCGTTGCTTGGTATTTATACCTCTCGCCATTGTAAAATTGTGCTATGGTCATTTTTTGTATTCTTGTCTTTCATTTTTGCTTATGTGCTCTGTCTATAGTGTGTCTATATGCCTTTTTTTTGTGTTTTCATAGTTGTTTGTTTTTATAGTGATTAAGATTATAACACAATGTTGACTGCTGTACCCCAATTTTTGACATTTTCGCTTATTATGTTTTTTTTGTTTTGCTCACACATTGTTGTCAATATAATGAAATTCTATGCGACTGTCACACAAGTGAGAGGTTTAGCTGGCTATAAAACCAGGTTTAATCCACCATTTTCTACATAAGGAAATGCCTGTACCAAGTAAAGAATATGACAGTTGTTTCTACCTAAGGAATAGATTACCTTAGCTGTATTTGGCAAAACGTTTAGGAATTTTAGGTCATCAATGCTCGTCAACTTCGTACTTTGTTTGGCCTTTTTGAAATATCATTTTTGATTCGAGTGTCCTGATGAGTCTTATTTAGACGAAACGTACAAAATGTCAATCCTGGTATCTATGATGAGTTTATTTCTATTCGTTTGATGTGTTTGAGATTTTAATTTTGCCAGTTGATAAATGACTTTCTGTTTTGAATTTTTTTTGGAGTTCGGTATTTTTGTTATTTCACTTTTTATTGCTATTATACATCTACCAAATAACATCATGTAGATGTACAAACATTTTTTTTATCTTTTTTAATTTTGTCCCTCATATTTGTTCTAGAATTTCTTGCATTTAATTTCTTGCTTTTTAAAGCTGCGAAAATATCCTCATTTTAGGATTTTTAAGAAAGTTTAGAATTAAGCCTAATCACTAACCAAAAAAATCGTATTCTTTTTATAAATCAATGTCTTAAACAAAACCGTTAGTGTTGTACATCGGGAAAGTCAATGCTCGAATATAATTATGTCAAAGATATCGTGACAATTTGTTTTAAATATATAAATTCCTACATGTTAATGACATTCTAGTAATAATAACTGAAATTTATTACCGCATGTTCAGGGGATATTATCCCATTTATTTATCAATTCAACAAACAATTTTGAAAAGATTGAACGTTCTTTTCTTGCATTTAATCATCATTCCTTAACATCGAAACGCTATAAAGACGATGTACTATTTCTAAATAATTCAACGTTTGAAGACTATGTAGATATAATCCATTCCATTTAACTTAAAATTAATGATACAACAGATACGTTCAGTCAGTCTCATATCTTGACTCACATCTAGAGATTGACAATGAGAGTCGGTTTGAGAACAAAAGTTTACGACAAAATAGATGATACCAGTTTCCCAATTGTGATCTTTTCATTTCTATGTAGCAACATTTATCCAGCGCCTGTGGTAACCTCAACTGGGACGTATCCTTTCCGTATTAATAGCGTCCTTTATATGTAAGTCCTATTTTCCTTGAATGTAACATCACGGGATCAGACTTATCACCAAGATAGTACTAACATGATCATCACGACGGTCGCCACATGAAGAGTAGGATCTCCTTGCCCTTCCAAACACATTGTTTTTGTTGCTATTTTCCTATGTTGTGTTTTCTATACTGTTGCCTTTTGGTCAATTTTCGTTTTTTTGCCATGCCGTTATCAGATTGTCTTCGACTCATGAGTTTAAATATCTCTTTGGCATCTTCCGCCTCTGTTTCAGTGATGATATCAAGGCTTTTACCATATTTTACCATAATCCAATTTCAATTTATATCAATGATAGACTTTTTTTCAAAAAAATGTAGGAGTTTACAGCCGTATATACTCTATCGGATAATCCTATAAAAAGTTATATGGAACAACACAAACAATTTTCCATAATGAATATTGTATATTAAGTCAAGCAAATTGACCAAATTAACGTGAAATGTGGTAAATACTGTAGTTATATTTTACTCATAACAAGATAAGCATTCCGACAAAATTGTCTCAGTTTTGATGAAGACAGCAATTTATAGCATTATCAAAGATTTAGAATTGACAAACAATTTCCCAAACAATTATTTCAAACATCTTTCATGAAAAACACGCGTTCAATTTATGGGATATAATCTATAACAAGCTACTACTGCAAATGATTTAAAAGTTAAACATAAAGTGTATATATCCAGTCGTGAGTGCCTTTACAGATGTATTATCCCTGATTCAAAAAGATAATGCTGGCTTACATATCCATCACACCCATGATACGAATACGAATAATATTTGGTAGACTTTTAAGTAAGGTTATTGTAAAATGTTATATATCGTGCACCCAACATGATCATAATTTATCTTGCCTCTTCTGAAGGAGGATTTATTGGTAGATTTCTTCGTAGCTTTTTATTAGGAGATACCAATGTTGATGACAAAGATAAGCAATTTTACAAAACTATTTAGGTCAATATATTTGGAAAATCAAAAAAGTGAAACAAACGTTGAAACACTTAAACAAATGAAACCAAAAAAATGACACACACGGCTGATGAATCACATCTGTGCATAAAAGCAGATGATTTTTATTCGCACATTCTATTCATACACTTTTTTATTAAACAATAAAACGTCATCTTTATCTAAGGCAATGTTCTTCATCATTGATTAATCTACAGAAAAAATATTTCTGTTTTTTAAAGATCAGTCTCTTTAACGGTCACATTTAAGAAGAGAACTTTTACAACTAGATGAAAGCAGTGATATCGTTAAAGCCAATTAAAATAAAAAAAACTAATTGGTCTTTATACACGTATAACATTGGTATTATCAAAGACCAAGATTTTGCTAGACACATCAAATTTATAAGGTGTTATTACCATACTCCATAACAAATATGTTGTTGTCCTTTCAGATATCTATTATCGTGTATGTGTTTAAATAACAAAGAGGACAAATACTTTGTTGACAAACTCTCTGATTCAAACAAAAACTTCTCTGAAACCGACATTATCAAGATGCTCGATCTGTTTTATTGGGAGCATATTTGTAACGTTTAAGAGACTTGCTTTTATTAACAGGTGTCATTCGTATGGAAACAACTGTATTTCTTTTAGTTCCTTTCATTTCCTTCATTTGAATGAAGTAGACCTGAAATAGGAGCAACTTAGAATGAATAACAAAAGTAAGCATTATCCTTTAGTTTGCCGTTCTGCTATATCAAATAGTACTTTTTGGCCTTAGTTTTGTCAGTTTT